CACAAAAGTGCATTGTTCTAGAGACGCTAGTGTCAAACCAACAGAAATCAGCACAAACGCGGTTAGCGTACGTATCTCCAACCACCTTTCAAAAAGATACGAATCCTTAAAATCGTATCTGTGTACTACTGTATTCAATGCTGATGGCAAATCACAGAGTTTCAGATCTTCAGACGTCACAAACATTATCGTGTCTCTAAAATACAAACGCAATATACCATACGTGGGTCAAGAACATACCTCAGCGAGCTCGTCGAGAACAGTTAACAGCGCTCAGCGAGTGTCAGAACACGCTCAACGAAAGGCAGAGACGCATGTACTGGTTGCCAGCGGCCGCGACACGTTGAGCTAAAGCATAAGTAGAATCCTTGGGCATATTAATGTCACATTCACATCGGCGCCTGCTAAATAGGTTACTAGTTTCTGTGCGAAGCAAGGGAAACAAGTGGTCACATGGAGCATGAGAAACGGCAAAGCAAATATCGCAAGACATAAATCATCGGGCAGCAAGCATTACAAGGAGAGAACGCAACCAAGCTACGCATAAGATAAACCAGCACCGTGATGATCAAGACAGAACAGATGTTGACTGCCGAGATGTAGCACTTGCACAGGATGACGGACACACTGCAGTTCGACAAAAATTTGCTTGAAGTGCTCACTGCCTCCTATAACCTGCATTTTGATCGAGGCCCCCTCTAGTGGGATATTCGCGAGCAGCGCTTTTAGGGGGAGCCGGAGGAGGCCCAGCATAGCCTGGAGCAGTAGGATAAGTCTCGTAGGTACCAGTCCCAGTCCTACCAGGAGGGCTTTGGGAGCGGCGTCTATGTGAATTTTAGTGTCACAATACAAGATGGTGACCATATTATGACAGACCTTGCACGCGCTTCAGTTCCAGAGCGAGGAGGGTAATCAGTGTAACGACCTGGTGGCGGAGTTACGGGGCGACGGTACTCAGTCGTAGGAGGATAATCTCTGAACACGACCGATCAGCACTAATCACGATAAATACAAAATTATACAGACCGTGCAGGTCTCTCAAATTCTTCCCGACGTGATGGAGGACCCCCTCCAGGAGGTGTCCTTGGCCTGACAACAGGGGGAGGAGGGTAACCCCCATATCTGTCATTAGATGGAGGGGGTCGTCGGTCGTATCGATCGTAGTCTCGAGACGCCGGAGGAGGGTAGCCGCGAGAGTATGCAGCTGGGTCATCAGAGCCGTAGTAACCAGAGCGAGACTCATAACGCGGAGGCGGGGGAGGAGGCCCACGCATTCTATAATCGTCCATGTCGCTCCTGCGAACTGGAGGCGGAGGGTAATCACGATATTCTCGTGGGGGAGACGTAGGTCTTCGAGGGGGAGGGTAATCATACGGATAACGTGCGTCGCGGGGGGGAGGCGGGTAGCCTCGAGGGGGATACTCTTCACGATAAGGCGGATAGTCGCGGCTGTGGGGTGCGGGTGCTGCGTAGTCACGAGGCGGATGAATCCTATCAATCAAAGAACCATCGCCTGGAGGGCTGTGGCGTCTAGAAGTGCTAAAGAACTAAGCGTAAGAAGAACATGGAAGAAAGAGTAAGGACTGACTGGACGACATGATTTGGGCATTCTCTGGAAGATTCTACTCAGAGCTGGTAAGAAAGTAAAACAATCGATGGGCCTACCTGGCCCAGTGACCCATCTGACCGCACTTGAAACAAGCACCAGGATCTCCGCTGAATTTTGCAAAACGTCCTCCTCCACGAGAAATTTCAACACGAATTTTGTTGCCCATAAAAAAGCCTTCGTTATACTTAGCAACACTCTCCTCTGCAGCCTCCCGACTTTCAAATTCCTTTTGAAAAATGAGAATTCTTCAATCCGTCGCAAGCTTGTCAACGGTACCTACCACAAAACCATATCCAACTCTGCACAAGATGAATCAGGAAGGGTACTGTGCAGTGTCTCAGAGGGACATACTTCAATTCAATGTTGGTAATACTGCCTATTTTGCCGAAGCAACTTTGGAGATCCTCTTGACGAGTATTTTCTGGCAGGCCACCGATGTAGACCTTATTTGGCTGCAGAGCACAGAAAGTGAACACCAGTCCAGAACACACAAAAGGGCAAACATGGAGCAGAAGAAGCGAGGTATGTGAACCCGGAACCCGAAGACACGGGCAGCAAGTCTCCGGAAGCCAGCAATAAGCAGCATGGAATCACGACTGACAAGACTGCTCATGCTATCACCCATGTAGGAACGCATACGTGGCTCAAGCGAAGCGGAGGACATGAGAAGACCTAAGCACCTTGATTTGTTTCTCCCTGTAGATTGTCATCCCACTAGACCTGTTAACAGGACCAGCATCACCTCCGCCAGGGCTGCGACTGTGATACTCCGCATTGACTGCTTCTGGTGCCCCACGTTCGTCGGGAGGGCCGCCATTTGAAGGAGGGAGTTCTGCGCCGTGTGCCAGAGAGTCCCCAGCTCTCTCTTCTTTTACTGACCACTTTTCTCGTGCTTGTGTGTCACTACGGTCGACTGGAACGGGAGAGGCAGCCATAGCAAGTGACGGGAGAAAGAAAGACACTTCCGACGTGTTCAAGTCTTGTTACTCAGCTAAATTCAAACTCAATTTAAAGCTCCGGCAAGGTCCACGCCACATCCAATTGTAAACAACAAAGCTACGGTACTAGCTTGGGTGCTAGAGAACGGGTAACATCTTGGGTAAATGTGAAATGAAGATCCTACGCCAAATAAGAGGCGTAGAAATGGTCCAGTACTATTAAATTGTCAATGATCCAGAAAGAGTCCGCCAACACATTTTACGCTAGAGACAACAAACCACCAGCAACGCTGATCGCGAGCATCAAGAAAACTCCCAATAGGCCGCGTACATCGCTGACGACGACATTAGTCGCGGCTCCATGGGTGCCGCTCTTGCTTCCGCTCCCACTGGTACTAGACCCACTGCCTGAGGATGGCGCAGTCGGGACGAATGTACCTGTAGCACTTGCGAGACAAGAGCTTGCAACTAGGCTTGCATTTGAGGAACTTGATGCTTTGGCGTTTACTGTGCCATTTCCACCAAAGCTGCACGCCTGGGGATTTCGCTTGTTCGCTTCAAAATATTCGCTCATTACAAAAGAAAGCTTGGTAGCTGTGGTCGATGCATCAATAAGGGAAAGAGGTATACTGCGAAACAGGCTCACAGGGATCGCACGAGGATACCTCACCATACTGCCCCGTGGTCCCATTGGCAGCAATTGTACTACAACTTCCTCCAGCTGAACCGAGAAGAGAACAAGCGGTATCGAGAAGCGGTCCGAGGATCGCAGTCGTATTGGAGACCTGCGGATTAAATTGACAACTAAGGCTAGATTCCAAGCATTGACACGCAGAGTCGCTAGGAGTGGGCGGCAATGTAGTTGAAGCGAGGAATGTGGAGTTTTGCTGGGGGCATGAGGGGTAAGAAGCAGCCGGGGCGGCGCTCTTAGCAGGGCTATTGATGAGCGAAACTTGACTGTACATAGCCTGCAAGTTGTTGAAGTCGGTGTTTGGGGTGACAGTAGATCCGTCAGTGGAGATATTAACCAAGCCAAATTCGCCTTGGCTACTCTCTGCAGGGAAATACGAGAAGGCAAGGCCACCAGACCAGACGGGAGTAGCTTGACTGCCAAACAACGCAGGAACTTCCGTCCAAACACGTGGACTTGGCTGGTTACAGCCAAATTCACTGAAATATGCGACAACGTTGTAGCCTGCGAAATCACCAGTCTTGCCAGCATAGGAGGCCACGAATGTTGAGTTTCCACACCACTCGCTGAGATAAGATTAGAGACGGCTTGTGCTAATCGAATTCTGGGTCTCACTAGTTATTTAACCCGAAGAGGTCGATGGCACTGCTGTCAGAGTTGCTATTGGAGGGATCACAAGAGAGATAGTTGGCAAAAGAATCGAGCCATGTGTCATCGGCATCGATAGAAGCATATCCAACGAGAGCAGTCGATGACTTCGAATTTCTACCAAAGAGGGAGAAAGGTGCGTCAACATACGCCATTGCATTAATGAAAAAAGAACATACAGATAGGCCTTGATATCACGAGCGGCAGCCTTTATAAATGTCGCCGCTGCAGTCTCGTTGGCGCTCACGACAACCTCATTTCCGACATTATAAGCCAAAACGTTGTCATACTTGGAGAAGGCATCGATGGTGCCGATGTACAAGTCAAGGAGATTTGACGTCCATGTAGGAGAGTCACGATCGATGGAACCGTTGACCGGAAGGCTTAAATCTACGCTGTAAACGGTGTAAGCGCCAAAGTGTCCAAATGGGGCACTCGTAGCTCCAATATGATAACATACATGACATAGATGCCCGCACCACTCAATGCTTGCATACAAGTGTCGTGATTTAATGAGGAATTGACGCTATAAACACGAATGGTGTTGACTGTGAGTTCCTTTAGGTACGGTAAGTCACGAGCACAGGCGGTTCCGTTGGTGAGGGGGTCGGTGAATGTACTCGGCTCCTCGAAAGGTGCATTGGAATTCGTATCAACAGCACCTAATTGTATATGTTGCCTTAAAGGTTCCTACATTGCAGAACTTGACTCACCTTGCTCTTGATATGCAACTCCCTTGATGTAAAAGCGAGTACCAGTGTTGTCGTAGAGATAGCGGCCAGACCTCGTAATCGGACTTATGGCACGCCCCCCGGAGGATAGGGTGAGAGCGACAGCAATAGCCGCTGCCGCACGGAGAAAAGAAAACATCAAGTCGCCAAGTTGGAAAGAGTGAAAAGAAGGAGGAAAGGGATGGCGCAAAAATATAAGAAGGGGAGAGCGCCCGTCAAGGGTGAGGCAGGTTTAAATTCACCTCATGCCAGTCGTTGTTTGGTCCTTCGGCGTCTCGGCACTTGCCCAGAGCCCACAAGCACAGCCTAGGCCAAATTTAACCGCCACCGGCCCAAGAGGCTAATTTCGCCTTTATCTATGCCTTACTTAGTGTCTTCTTAACGCCCGCCTAGCTCAATCGGATAGAGCGTCAGACTCTTATGGCGGGAGTACACACCTTTGTGTGATCTGAAGGCTGCGAGTTCGACCCTCGCGGTGGGCTATAATCTTTTTCACTTACTCAGACACCGCCCGCATGCCTAATTTAGTTGTCCGCCGTTTACTCTCATGCACCAGCATGGTGCTTAGTAGGTTATTAAGTTATTAATTAATCAACTTGAAGGTGCCGCTGATGTAGATTCAAGTTTTCTTCCGAGTTACTTCTGGTTCTCACGGCACCGTGACCTGGCAGATAATCATCATGATGGTATTGTCTCAGAGTCTTCTCTGATGACTTCCACAAAACGTTCGTTCTCTGGGCATTGCCAAGTTTCGAATCGAGGCTTCGAAGGTCTGTCTGTCTCTGCGGTCAGAGTTGACCTTTTCAGTGGCCGTTTCCCTAGTGTCGTAATTGTATGCACTCTCGTGTATGAGGGGCACACGCACAACCAAGCTACTCATATCTCGGAAGGCTTTGGGCTGGATACAACATTCGGTACCTGTCACAAATCTTGGGGTTGCTGGCTCTGGTGCTCAACTCAGAGGACCTCTCTATGCACACATAGCCAGTGGGCCTAATAAGAGTGAATGACCGCTCTCTTATATCCTGGTACGTGTACTGCGTACGTGGATTTAAAAAAAAAAAGCCATTAGCGCTGTGCTTTATTCTTTTTCTGTTCGTGCCGAAAAAAAACAAGAAACAAAGGTTTGTGGGCAAGCGCATCCAAGTGGGTCACCAAAGGCGATCTGGTGAACAGTACTTGGTGTTAACTCGGATGTACGTTGTCGCACAACATCGCCCGTCACGGTAGTGAGGGAGTAATAAGTTCATTACGACGGTTATGCTACGTTACATTACAGTAACAACGCCTAGCTGGCTGAATCCGGTGAAATCTATGAACGGCCGCCTTTCTTCTTCTGTTTCACCACCTTGAACCCACCCCACTCCGTTTGTTGAGAAGGCTTGGGCTGTGCCTTGACGACATCGGCAATCGATGGCACGCGACCAGATGGTTTCCTAGAAGCCGCATCTGCCTTGCGTTTCGCAATAAACTCCTGGGCGAAGCGCCTCCCATCAAGCGTTGTGCTGTTGTCGTAAATCAACTCAGAGATGATTTCCGCGGTCGTAGCATCCCCATCAAGAGGGAATGACAGTAGCATGGATGCAATCTCCTCGTCTGAATACCAAAGTAGCGTTAGCGTCCTCGAGTCATTTTAGTCAAAAAAAAGAAAATAACAAACAATTGACGCTGCTATTGAGTTGCTTCAACGAATCATTCAACCACTTCATGAAGTCCGGCGTTGGCGCGACAGGTGTGTCGTCAGCCTTGGGTGGGGGGGTCGCTTTCGCTGGTGGCGCGGGCGAGCGTGCAGTTGAAGTGGTGACGGACCCTCTGGATGGAACCGCTGCTGGTCCAGTGGAAGGGAGTATCGGCGACCGTCCGACAGAAGGCGAAGCAATAGCGGTGGCGGCGGACTTTCCGTTAGCGCCAACAGTAGTCCATGCCCCACCAGTTGACAGAGTGGCGGGAGTTGCCTACACGCAGGACATCCGATCAGAGTTGCTTACCCATTGAACTGGCATCGCACAAACCTTGTTCGTAGTTTCGGCGTATGCACGACGCGCCGCTGCTGATGCAACGGACTCTTTAGCAGCCGCTTTCTTCCTTCTCTCTTCTTCCTCCAGGATGTCTCTCATAGACTTCTTGGCGGCAGGCTTTTGCGCGTTGGTCCAGACAGCAACGGGTGTAGATTGAGCAGGTACCGTGGGTGAAACCGTGGCAGACGTGGCGGATGCTGAAGGTACGATGACCCCAACCGCCTCTTTGGATGGCGTCTTCGCACCAACCTGAGATGTCGGCAGACCCCAAGAGGCAGTAAAAGGCTGGGAATCTTCAGAAGGCATAGCAGAAGCAGCGGCAGTCGCACGTGCACGCTCACGCTCGGCGGTCTTCCGTGCCTCCTGTTTCTTAGCCTCCATTTCTTGGATTTCTCGCAAGCTTGTTGGCCCTCCAGTACTTTTGTTCTTGTCGTCTTCTGTTGACCAAACAGGCTTGGTGGGTGGCGAAACGGTAGACGAAGAGGGTGTGGGTTCCTTTGTTGGTTGAGTAATAGCGGAGGTTGGTGTAGTTGGTGTCGGTGGTTGAGGAAGGTTTGTCTGTACGGAGAACTTGCGACTAGGCCGATGGGGCTGCTGTGGAAGCTCTGCGGGACCAGAAATCGAGGAACTCTGTATAGGAGGTTGCACGTGTTCCGGTAGTGGGCTAGGCTCGACAGGACTATCCACAGTAACCGCGTTATCGCTGGAAAAGTCTTCCCCTGATTCTTGCTGTTGAGTGTGCTGGGTCAAATTACTGACAGTCAAGCTATGTGGGCCAGGAACATGGCCCCAGCCATTATCAACAACACCCTGAGAAGCACTGGACCACGGGGACTGGGATGAATCGCCTGAAGTCGATTGTTGCATGGCAGTCCATGATTGTGCAGGGGGTGGAGGTGCAGTGCGCGTCGCAGTAGTATTACGGGATGTGGGAAAGGCTGTGTTATCAAAGGGTGTCAAGCCAGAACGTTTAGGCGCAGACTCAGCAGCTTCGGGCCATGTAGACTGGGATGGTGGCATTGTCGAAGGTATGGATGCTAGGGCGGCGGGTGGGGTGATCACTGATGGGGAGCTCGCCTGTTGTGACACAGGCGGTGCGAAGTTCGTGGAAGGGGACTGGTTGAACGGCTGCTGTTGGACAGGCGATTCAAAGGGCGAGCCACTAGGCCCATCGAACCCTCCCAGGCCTAAACCCGTGTGGTGCTCCAGTTGATACAAATCCCTGGCCCCCAAGCGAGAAAGATCACGCTGGTTGACATTGCCAAAGTTCTGTCCGAGAACATCTTGCTGTGCTGGAAGGCCTCTGGTGAGAGAGGACTCCCCCGAGTATGCAGGGTCCAAACCGGATCCAAGAGGAGATGCGAATGGACCTGAGCCCATGTGGTCGTAAGAACTGGCGCGAGTGTTTAACGAAGCAGAGTGAACCGAAGTCGATGAACCCCATGGAGGTTGGGAAGGTATTGACGAATTCAAGCCGTAGCCGTCCACGGACGATGTCCTAGTGGGGCCAGTACGCGTAGCGAAACTTTGTTCGAAAGGAGGGTCTGCGTAGCCGGCTCGTCGATTGCCAATGAACGCTGGGTCCGTAAACGTTCCCGTACGTAAAGGTATGGGTGAATCATTAGAAGATATAGGGGGGCCCACGAGGCCGCCAAAGGCAGCAGGATCGGGTGAATTGTTCCCGAATCGACCAGCACCAAATGACGAAGATGGGGAATTGGACGCGGGGGACGCGGAAGTGAAGTACGAATCCAGATTCGGGTGGACTGTCCGAGTAGGCACTGGTTGATAGGGTGCGTTGTATCCGTTCGGTTCTCGCTGTTGTTGGAAATGATCCCGAGAAGGTTCACGACGACGCGAAAGCCCAGGAGGGGCAGCAGGTGCATCGAAGTTGAAGAAGAAAATCTTTTCGCTACCAGCCCGCTGAGCCAACTCCCCAACGGGAGTCCAGTCTTCGTCAAGGTTTACGCGCCGCATCAGAAGATCTAAGGCGAAATAGCCCTCCTCGTACCACTTCTGCATAAGCTCCGCCTGGAAAGGGCCTAAAATATTATTATTGGTTAGAATAAAGGTGAATGAAATTTTTATGTTGTACCTTGCACCTGTCCCTGAGGATCAAGATATGACCACTCAACACTGGCAGGACTAGCGACATTTTGCGACACTGCGGTCACGAGAGCAGGGTTTGCAGACGATTGAGCGGGAAGGCCATCCGCTGGAACTTGTGTTGGAGGTTGTGTAACGCCGTGAAACGTATTAGAACCATCGGGGTCATTCATAGGAGACGAGGTAACCCTATCGTTGACAGGTATCGTAGCTCCTTGTGGAGAATCCCCTGGCGAGGCGTTCGAGTTCTTGGAGGCATTCTTGCCCGTAGAATCGGGCCCGGGCTCAGAGTGGCGCTGCTGTTCTTCCTCCACTTCGTCGATCTTGAGCCTATTCCCCGATGGCGGTTCGGTGTCGCCATCACCACGGTTAGCACCAGAGTTCAACCTCATGCCACTCTCGGATGCTCGTCTCCTGGATACCCAAGTCTCCCCAGAGTTCAAGATGCCATCGAAACTTGGCGTAACGGGCCCTCTTGTCCGTGGAGATGGCAGGCCGCCGTCGCGCGGAGAGCCAAGAGGACCTTGCGTGGAGGACAAGGAGAGCTTGCGAGGTATAGTCAAGGCTGGTTGGTCTGCGGTGCTGTATTGAGCCTCGTTCATCCAGTTGGTGAAAGACAAGGAATGCCGCACCTGTACCGTCACGCTTCCTCATTAGGCCACCAAATCTCTCTCTCAGAGGGCTTGTTACCCCAGGACCAGTATGGGATAATTTCTGCCTCTCTCCAGGCTGGGTAGAAAGCGACAGGTAGTCGCTCGACTGACGCCGACGCACCTCGGAATTGATTGAACCTGCGAAAAGCTGAGTGGGGACGAACTAAGCATGACTCGGGACACGTGTGTGTAGAAGGCAGGTTGCACCTTTCTCTCCCCTTCAGTCCATTCTTTCAATGCCACGGGTTCGGAGCCAACCTCGCGAACTACACCCTCCCATCTCTCAACATCGAGCCCGAGCCCTCTCCTACCCCCACCGTCTTTATAAAATTTCAAAAGGTCCTCTTTAGAATAGAGGAATGGATTCGCGGAGTCTGGTGGCTCTTGAGTGTTATTAGGCGAAGGAGTCAAGAGTGCTGAGTAAGAGGACACTCCAGATGGCGGACTGGGATTAGGAGGAGGTGAAGGAGGATTTTGGGGACGCGACGCGTGCTTGGGGCGCATCCACTCGGGACCAAAGTGCATAGTGGTAGTAGTCATTTTGGAGTGTTTTGGCAAAAAAGTTTGCGATGCGAATTGAAAGATTCGAAGGCGAGTTGAGGTGCAGGGGGTAGCAAGCAATGGCTCGAGAGGCTCAAGGTCAAGGCTGGAGACTCAGGGTGGCTAGCTACAGCCAATCAATTGGGGTCTTTCTAACTTTAGGGC